TTAAACATATTGAAATAAAAACTTAAAAATCTCTGGATAAAAATAATTCTGGTTCACTTTTCTTTTCTGAATTAACGTATTTTCAATTTATATAAATACATATAGATTTAATAATTAAAAATATTGTGAAATTCCAAATCTTATTTAAATAAAATTATATTTTTGGGTGTTGTTATGGATTCGACCGTTTCGACGAATGTTATTATGGATTCGACCGTCTCGACAAATGTTGTTACGGATTCTGCCGTTTCGTTCTCTCCATAATTCTCTTTTAACGTTTTCTCCATTAATTCAAACGTTAACAAAACTTAATAAACTAAAATTAATCGGTTTATTCAAATTGTAATAATAAATATATTTTTTCAAAATTTTTTTATCATACTTTACAATTATACAAATTATTCAATATATATTTTTAATAATAATATATATTATGTAAATTCAAATTATAACGTAAGATATTAATATAGATTATTAAATTATAGTTAATGTATTTCTTAAAAATAAATTCCATGTAAAATTGAGTCTTATTATTTATTAAATTTATGACCAAAAAAATTTGAGATACATACAAATTAGTATAGAAATTCGTATCTATATTATTAATTGGGAATCACTAAATATTAAATAACCTTATGAAGAGTAAAATATTACAAAAAATGCCATTGATTTTTAGTGTTTTTAAATAACTTCATTAAGGGTACAATAGTAATCACAAAATTAATATATTTAAATAAAAAATTGTTTAATTCTTTTAAATAATTATTAATTTCCAAAAAAATAAACTAATTTTCTCTCTCTTATTAATTATAAACGAAAATTTGAAAGTAATTTTTAAAAAATTGTTAACCAATAGGAATTGAAAAACTAAGATTTGATATCCAACTAAGATTTTAATTCAAAAATAAAACAAAATTTAATAGACTATTCTATATCAAAAATAAAAAGAAAAATAATATCATTTTAATTCAAAATTAAAAACACTATCGTTTAAAAGATTTATCAATGGAGGACTTTAAGATTAAATTTAAAATTTCGTAAGAAAACTAAATACAAATATTTTAAGATTCAGTTTTGTTATAATATTTTCACAAATTTTAAAATATAAAACAAAATTTTATTTCACAATTTCTAAAATATGATATTAGGTATTAACAACTCTTTATATTTATGATGAAATAAACTCAAATAATAATAAATTTAAAGTAATTATCATTATAGCCTTCGTTTAAAGCAAGTTTGATAAATATCTAACAATAGATTGTATATATTAATTTCTAAATTATTTTGCGTTTTATTTTTTGTTTTTCAACCGGATCTTCCTTAAATAAATCCCTAATATATTGCACACAGTTTTTAAATAATGTAAACTAATTATATATTTTGAATTCAAAACAAATTATGCAGCAATAGCATATCCCTTTTAGAGATGTATCTCAAATTTTTATTTTTAGTCTAAAAATCAAATTAATTATGATTAAACAATAAAAAGAAGAATATGCAAAATTTAGCTAAGGAAAGAAACATTAATTAATTTGTTAAAATATATTTGTAACTTTAGCAGCATATATATTAATCTGCAAAACTCACAGTATGTATTGTATGGTATTTAAAAGTACGCAAACAAGAATTTGGAACATGATTTTAATGGAATGAAATGAGAATAGGAATTACGAGACGGGATGAGAGGGGAACATAAATTAAAAATCAAACTAAATACCCAATTGGTATGAGTTCAGGTTATGAGCACTATATAAAATAAATTTGTTTACATACATAACCATGTACGTACGTTTTCAGTTACACATATTTTATTTATGCCGGATACTGGACTGTCATATTTTTATTTCACGTATACAAAACGGGTTATGGGACCAAGAATTTATGACAGATATAGGACGGGATATGTTTCCCGTTCTAAAATAGTTACGTCTAGCTAATATACATGAAATAACCAAACTCAAACCGAATCTATATCCTATTTAACACATGTAATCAAACTATTAGAAATGTTTTGATTAGTTTAGAAAATAAAAAAAAGTAATATCATTTAACTTTTGCAACTAAATTATATCTTAGTTTTATCTTAAATATAATTTTGCACGTACGTGTAGGTCCAGATCTTAAAATATAACTATGCTATGCACTAACGCAACTGAATTTCGTTTATTACTCTAATTTTATAATATTTGGACTATTATAAAGTTTACTAACACAACAAAATATTTTATATTTTTAAAATCTATATAACAATTTATATACAAACATCTCTACACGTACGTGTGAATCCATATCTAATACACTAAAATATATATCATAAAAACAACGAAATAATCTATATTGAATTAAAATTTGTTAGAACTTTTTAAAAAATATGAAACCCCGCACGTATGTGCGGGTCATGATCTAGTAGAGTATAAAAAAAGAAACAAATATTAAAAATATCACATCCATGCAGGCTAACGTTCAGTTGACTAGCAGCGATAAAAGCAGATAATAAATTCTCACATTTAATTTCTTTTCCATTAAAGCAAAAACCCCACACACTCTCTCTCTTCCCTTCCTCTTCCTCTTCTCTCTCTCTCTATCTCTCTGCAAAAACCCTAAATTTCCTCCGATTTCACCATCTTCAATCTCATTCACTTCCAAACTTAGCCTCTTAATCACTCACCAAGCAAAACCCTCCAAGGATTTTCCATGATTGGAAGATATAGAAGCAGAGAGATGAAGAAAAAGCCCTAAAAATCGAACCTTTGATCTCTCCGAAATCGGAGTTCGTTTTCTTTGTCTTTGGTTTCGAAAATGTATAAGAACCAGCTACAAGAGTTGGCGCAGAGAAGCTGCTTTAATCTTCCTTCGTATACTTGTATTAGAGAAGGTCCTGACCACGCGCCGCGATTCAAGGCTACTGTTAACTTTAACGGCGAGATCTTTGAGAGTCCTCAGTATTGTTCTACTCTTCGTCAAGCTGAACACTCTGCTGCTGAAGTTGCTCTCAATGCTCTCTCTAATCGTGGTCCTTCTCACTCTCTTGCCTCCAGGATCTTGGTTTGTTTCCTTCCTCCACTCTCTACTTGGAAATTCTGAGCTTTGGATGTTGAATTTGCATGTGGTTTTAGGTCACTGATGGGTTTAGGTTATTAGGGTCGGTGCTGAGATCTCTGACTAGCTTTTTAGGGATTTGGGTTTCACATTCACTGATCTATGGATCTAAAGTTTGAATCTTGTTATTACCCATTTATGCGTTTGACTGATGATGATACTTGTCCCGGCTCTGTTCTTTTTTGGTTTTGTGTAGGATGAGACGGGTGTGTATAAGAATCTGTTGCAAGAAATAGCTCAAAGAGTGGGAGCTCCTTTACCGCGATATACGACCTTCAGGTCTGGGCTTGGCCACCAACCTGTGTTTACTGGTACTGTAGAATTGGCTGGAATCACATTCACTGGAGATCCAGCTAAGAATAAGAAGCAAGCAGAGAAGAATGCTGCTATGGCTGCTTGGTCTTCCCTAAAACAATGTGAGTCCTAAAACCTGATTTTGTCAGTTTTTGATATGGTTTTACTTTAACGAAGGCGTTGATCAAATGTAACTCTGCTTACATGGTTTGACTTGTTTAAGGTTTTTTATGTTCTTCTTGGTAACAGTGGCAAAAGAAACTTCAAGTTCAATGCCTGAGCCTGAGAACATTGACGAACTAGAACAGGTGATTATAGCAAGAGCTTTGATAAACTATCGTATCAAGGAAAATATTGGTACAGGAAGCTCCTCGAGTGCCCCGGTTCCATTTGCAAAGAAGTTCTTTATGCAGAACCCTAGACCGACAAGTCCACAGCCTTCTCCTGCTACCACATCGAGAATCTTACCCTTCATTTGCCCAAAACAACCTTCCAGAAGCAGCAGATCCTTAGCAGCAACTTCCGGTATTGACAGAATTATGGCAGCAGCCTTGGAAAGTCGCAGCTACCAGCGGCCTCAGCAGAGATTTGCAAACCCAGGCACAGCAGCTCAGCCTTATGTTCCTATGAGACATTTAAGATCACCATGCCATGGGATGGCTCCACCTGTCACAATCAGAACCGCTGTACCGGTCTTCTCTGCACCTCCAATGCCTCCTCCACCATGTACAAACAGCACTCAGCTATCTTCTTCTGTGTATGTCCCATCGCTGATGCGAACTGCACCACCTGTGAGAATCGCACCACCTGTCACAATCAGAACTGCAGTGCCCGTTTTTGCTTCTGCGCCACCGGTTAGAATTAGAAAAGTGGATATCCAAACCACTGTGAAGCCCACAGTTGAGGTAGGAGAAACCCGGGTATCATTGGTCCAAGAAAATGAGGAGAGTATTCCAGTCTTGCCTGATACTCTTGAAATTGGAGAAGAAGGAATCACTATACCAATTTCAGAGAGAGAGAAAACAGCTGCAAAGGACTCATCGAAAGGAGAACCGGAGACAGCAAGAGAGCGACTGGAGTACCTAAAAATCTGATGTCTTGAGGACTGTCTCTGAGTTTAGTTTTTTGAGGTTGGTTTCTGAAAATTGTTACATTAGTAATCGTTCGTTATTATACTCGGTGGATCGAGTAGTTTGATAATCCGAAAGATTTGTATTATATTGGGAGTTTTAGGAGGAACCTGGCCATCTCTGGATTGTAGAATTGTATCAGTTTCACTTCCTATTCTGTTTGTTTGTGTCCTTTTTATAAATCCGTTACCTATCGTCGTTCCAGAAGAATCAAGCTCCTTCGTATTACACAACAACTATGACACATAATTCAATGAGTCTTAAAAACTTCGAATTTACTAACTTCAACCATTTGCTTCTGTATATGGTATGACACATAATTCAATGAGTCTTAAAAACTTCGAATTTACTAACTTCAACCATTTGCTTCTGTATATGGTGCGAAACACTATAACAAAGCCGACCAAATCTTGTCATTGTACAACAAAATGAATAAGGTCGTCTACAAAACCACTCCCAGTTTCCAAGCATTGGGACCAAATCTTGTCATTGTACAACAAAATGAATAAGGTCGTCTACAAAACCACTCCCAGTTTCCAAGCATTGGGTTTGAAGAAAGTTGGTTCCAAACCCAAAACAAGAAAGAAGAAGAAAAATCAGTCACTATACACCGAAAATAAACACCATGAAAACACATCTTGCGGAACAGTGTCATGTCAACGGGATGCAAGAGACCAGAAGTTGAAGAGAAAAGAGGGCAAAGCAGCAAACCAGCTTATGAAAGCTAATGCTGTTGATGTTTCAAACTGAACACAGTGGTTTTGTGCGCAGCTATTCAGATCGTTGTCTATCAGAACCGTTATGCCTGCCGATGCACAAGCTGCTGCAAAAGTCAGCGTCGATGTCACCTGAAATAATGTAGAGAATTTTCTTATTTATCCACATCTTTTTCCTCATACTATTTTAATAGATAGAGAGGCTAATTGATTAATCTCTCACCCCATCACCAATTGCAAACAAGCTCACAAGTCGACGGTTCTGTAGCGAACGTTTGACCATAATGGCATAGACGTCAACCATGGCTAGTGCAAGACTCCACAAGCTCTGCAGACCAGTAGCTGCAACTAGGTAGCTGATGAAGCAAAAACAATAAGCCATCTTTAGCAAAATCTAACAGTCACCAAACTTGGTTTAATCACATAAAGCATACAGGTTTAACCCAATATTCTACCCACCCCGTACAATCGGTTCAACTATCTCATTATGTCCAAAGCTTAATAATGCTACAACAAAGATTCATTCATCTGGACTCTGGAGAATTTACAACAGGATAACTACATACAAAGTACACCAGTGCCTGTCACTAAGGCAAACTTACCTAAGTAACCACTAGCAGACACCATGATGCAAAGCATGATTAATAACCAAATTAAACAACAGTGACCGAATGAAAAACATGATATGATAGCCATTTTTTTGTTCAAAAAAAAAAAAAAAAAAAAAAGATATGATAGCCATTTTATCAACACTAACTTCTCAAAGACCGCTCATCTAGTTTTAATGATCTTTATTACCATGATATATTTCGGATCGAAAAAAGAAGTCTATACAGTAAAAATTGGCAGCTACATTACATTACTGGACACAAGTATTAAAATTCCCCATACACTTTCTTTCACAAGGTGTTAGTTTGCTTTTGATCAGCGTTATATATATTAATAGACTCACAAACTTCATAGCTTATCACATTAAGCCACAAACCTGACGCTTATTTGTATCTTCAAAAACAACAAAAAAACAGATTCCAATTTATAGTACTATAACATATTGGAAGAAAGATAGGTTGCTATCACATTTGATTCTGATATGTTCAGATTTCATCATAGATAAACAAAAACCCTTAACACCGAAGCATTCATGTCAAAATGTCAATCGAATTCATAAAAAATCTTATAGCACAAAAGACGATCTTACCAGAAGGCGGTAACGGAAGGGAAATCACTAGTAGTAGCCATGACACAAAGCGCAGCAGCTGCAAACAAGAACTGAAAAAAACGCAATGCAAGCCCAAGCAAAGTTCCAGGCATTCCTTCCATATCATCCATCCTCACCCTCGGCGGATTATCAACTTCCGTAGCAGGAGGATCTTCAACCGGATGAACCGATGCATGGCTCACATTCATTTCTTCTTTCCTCCACCAAACACAACCAATTCAACACATCTCTTTCCCTCTTTACCAATAGCTGAAATCCAAATCCAATAATCTAGTAGTACTCAAATCTCCCCTACCTGTATTCATCAAATACACCAAATTAAACCACTAATGATAATTCAAAACAGAGATTAGATTCTCTTAGTACACAGTTCCAAGGAGACTAAATCAAACATAGAATCAAATCTCTAAACTAAACTAATCCAAGGTCACGAAAGGCTTTGATTGAACTAGATTTGGTTCAGGAGAAGTAAAGAGAAAACGAGATCCAATAAATTGAGAACGTAGATCGAGTAAGGGATTTGGTGTTACCTGAGAGAATCAAGAAGAGAGGAAGAAATTGCGAGCAGCCATGGAGAGCTTGGGTAGAGGAAATTAAGAAACCCTAAGCTATATTTGAGGGAAGAAGAAGAAGAAGATCGTGGAAATGGTTTTAAGGTTTATGCGAAGAAGAAGACGAGTGAGTCATTTGATCAAAAGGAAGAATATAGCTTCACGAAAATGAGATTAACAATGGGAAAAAACCCGAAAAAACCGTCATCTATTTTTTTTTTTGCCGTTTAATACATGTAGTATTAAATTTTGAATAAAAATATCTCATTTAATTTCGGTTGCCTTTTAAAACTTTCGTTTTTTAAAAATTGGTAAAATCGTACCCCCGAATTAACGGAATCTCTACCTGCAGTTAAAACTTAACCCATGATATTTAAATATATATATAATCTGCTTTCGCTAGTGTATGAATATGTTGCTTAGTCGAGTGGTTAGTGTACGATAGGAAGACCTCATGAGCTCGGATTCGGAACCCTTCACAGTCACATTTAGACGTTTTAAACCCTTTTTTTTTTTTTTGGCTTCATCTTCTTCAAACCTCTTTGTTCTCTCCTCACTGTAAACACTAGTTTTCCAGAATTGGATCCATTCTTCTACAAATTCCCAGAAAAATTAAGTGCGATACACAAAGACAACAATATATCGTCTTCAGATCCACGCGAATAGTTTTTGAAAACTGTTGACCACGAATCGACTCGCCGAGATTAGATCCGTATGGATCCGAAATTTAATCACCTCCAGGCTCCAACAAAAACAATCGAAATCGTGATGTCAAAATCAGCTAGCAAATCGTGATAACCAAGGATAACCAAACCCGTGAGTTTCTCTTGTTTTTCCAGATCTACGTAGAATGTGGATGTTCAAAATCGATAACGAAGAGACAGAGATCAAAATCTTGGTTGGGGAGGTTTTGTTTTGAAGCAAAAAAATTAAAGAAAAAAACGTCTAAAAGTGACGGCAGGGAGTTTCAAACCCAGGTTCATTAGAATAGACAAACCACATTTAACCACCTGACTAGGACAACATATTCGTACAAATCAGAAAAGAGATTGTATATATATATATCTAAACACCATGGGTTACGTTTTAACTGCAGTTAGAGATTCTGTTACCAATGTTAACATCCGTTAACTCGAGAGTACGATTTTACCAATTTTTTAAAAACGAAGGTTTTAAAAGGCAACCGAAATTAAATGAGATATTTTTATTCCAAATTTAATACTACACGTATTAAACGGCCAAAAAAAAATAGATGACGGTTTTTTCGGGTTTTTTCCCGATTAACAATTAAACCAAATTGAAATGTCAATTAACTTAAGGGGAAATATAACCACCAATCTTTTTTTTTTTCTTTCCTAATTTATACTTGACGAAAAGAGCTTAGCAATTAAACCAAATGAAAAGGTTAATTAACGGAAAAAAATGTCAAAAAAGCCTCAATTTAGCAAAGTGTCGGAAAAAAAATCCTCAATTCTGCTTGTAGTGAATTAAATTGCGAACTTTAATTTTAATATACGTCACCAATCTATATTTTCTTTCTTTTCTGTTTTTTTTCTTCCTAGTTTATACTTAAGAAGATTTTTTTTTGGCTAAAAGTTAAGAAACATTACATATATAATTTCCCCTTTTTTTTTACATTAGTATGATACTATTTATTTAAAAATTTTATCACAAAGTTTGATTTATATAGAAGCAATTTATCTACGTATAGTTTTTTTTTCCTCAAAATGTTTCTTTTTTTTTGTAAAACCAACATTAATGCTCTTGATAAGAAAGAACGTGTGAGAAGCTAAAGAGAAGCATAAGAAGACTAAAGAGTATAAATAGCAATATAGAGGAGATGTAGAAATCATCTTGCGTGATCATTTGTGTAGTGTGTCTCAGAGCTGCGTCTCTGTTCAGTGTGTGATAGCAATTAGGGTTCGTGAATTGTATTGGGGATTTAGTAGTGATAAGAGAGAAGAGTTCTTACCTTCAAACTTATCTAATAGTGTGCTCGTGATCAGGGCCGGCCCACGACGTAAGCAACCTAAGCGGTGGCTTACGGCCCATTTTTTTTTTCTTTTTTGTTACTAAATCAATCAAAATAAAACTTATCATAGTTATGTGCTTGTGAATTTTTAATGATGTGTTCATTGAGATATCTAAATATGATTTTGTTCTTGGTTTTTGGAGATTGGTTTTGATGCTTTATGTTTTTTTGTATGTCTGAACTTCTGTTTCGCTCGTTTGAAGTTGAAGAAAAATAGTATTATGTATGAATTTAAGTAGTATTTAAAAAGGAGAAAAAAAATATTTATCTTGAGTAGGGCCTTCGCAAACATTGGACCGACACTGCTCGTGATCAAGGATCGAAGCAATCGCAATGTGTCTTGAGGGATTTTCCATCTTCGATGGTGTTGCTGGTGAACTGCGATCATGGATTTCATGGCTAGAGGATTTCTTTGTTCGGGAGGACTTCATGGACGACGAGAAGCTGAATCTTGCACAGAGTCTTCTCGAAGGGGAAGCAGAGTCTTGGTTCTGTAGAAGGCAGAAGATGTTTCTATTCCGATCTTGGGAACATTTGAAGGATCGTTTGTAATATACCAAATAAATTTAATTAAAAACAATTGAAAATTAACTCAAACGAAAAAAAATCAGTTTTAAGAAAACACAATCAACTTTAAAAGAATATGATATAATATTGTAAAACTAATACAATCTACTATAATATTTGATTTTCTTAATCAAAGGTTTATATTATTATTATTTTATAATATTAATTAGACCATATAAGTTTATGTTATTATTATTTTATAATATTAGTTAAACCATATATTTACGTAAAAGTAAAAAGTGTTAATTATTATTTTAGAGTATTAATTAGTCTAGAGTATTATTTAGAATATTAATGTTTTTAAAATTTAACTATAGGATCTAATTTGTTCCTTTCTTGCAAAATTTTTTTTTTTCTTTAGATAATATAGTTTACTAGATTATAGTGTTTGTTGGTGGAAAAAGGGTATTTTTATATCCGTACAATCCGTAAAATATATTTTTCAACGTGAACAAACACGTAGGGTTAATTCCAACCCAAACTAATTTTTTTTTTGAATTTTATACCCAAACTTTACATTTAGTACCTAATTCAGAGTCGTAATTAATTGGCGTTAGTCAACTATTATGGCTGTTGAGTCAGCTGACACATGTTTGATATGACGTGGTTTAAAACGATATCGTTTGCTTGTTGGATTAATTTTTTTTACAAAATTCGGGTCTCGAATCCACGACAAATAAATCATTTCCGATTTTTAGGTTGTGTAAACGAGTGAAACTCCTGGGTTCAAGACCCAAATTTTGCAAAAAAAAAAAAAGTTAACTTCAACAAGCAAAACGACGTCGTTTTAAGCCACGCCATCAAACCCGCATCAGCCGACTTAGCAAATGTAACGTTGACTAATATCCGTTAATTACTATTTTAAACTAGGCACTAAATATTAAGTTTGGTATAAAATTTAATTTTTGTTAGAGGTTTGGATTAGAATTAACTCTACGTATTTAGATCGAAAAATATTTTTTTTCGTATTGCTGGTTCATTACTTCCAGTATTCAAGAAAGCGCTAGGCGCTAAACGGACGGTGACCCAGTGCCTAGCACCTAGAATTTTCTTCTGGAGTTTGGGTTTGTCTGCACCTAGTAATCGGGGCCTAGCGATTTTTTTAGGCGGTTTAAACGTTTATAACATAGAACATTATAAATATGATATTATATATATAAGTTTTGTAAAACTTAAAATTATGAAATTATAAACAAAAACTAGATAAAACATTTAATTATATTTATATTAAACAATATATAAATATATATAACTATATATATATAATAAAATTCTAATTGAAATTGAAAAAATACAGTAAACAAAATCTATGTAATTTTAGGCGGTTAAGGCGATTATTTAGACATGAGAATATTTTTGTGTATTTAAAAACTTTTGTCCTTATTTATGCAAAATTTACAAAATTATGCCTCAGATTTTTCAAAAAAAATATCTGAGTACTCCGATCTCATTCTCTCTCTCTGGATCTCCATCACCATTGACTGATTTGATCGATTTCACAGCTCCAACCCAAAATCGCCACTCCTCCTTTGATTCCGCTGCTACGGTTCTTCCTCGTCGCCACCACCATGTTCTGGAAGCTAGCCTCTCTCTCTGCATCGTCGCCTGTAAGTTCAACAACAGATTCATTTCTTCCTTCTTTCTTTTTCGCTACTCATCTTCTTCCTTCTGCTTTTCATCGTGATCTGGTCTTTAAGAAGTTGGAATGGTTCTTCGTTTTCATTTTCTAGTGAAATCGATTTAGCTCGCAATTCAGGTCAATTTGGAATTATTCATGAGTTGATGTTCTCTCATTTTGGTTATGGAAATAGGTGGAGTCGATACTAGACAAAGACAGTTTCACTTTGGAAGAGCTTCTTGATGAGGAAGAGATTATTCAAGAATGCAAAGCTTTGAATAGCCGACTCATAAATTTGTACTGGATTCATCTTGTACTAGTTTGTTTCATAAAGTATTTCTTGGAATAGTTTCTGATGATGTATTGGTATTGGTAGTCTAAGGGATAAAACTCAAGTGGACCAACTTTTGCGGTATGTTGTTGAAGAGCCTGAGGACGATGCTGATAGCAAACGTGCTTTCAAGTAATATGAGTTTCCTGTATAGTGACTGGAATTTCAGTTCCCATGCTTTTATTTGTTGAATGTTTCTGGCCACTGATGGATTCTTCTTCTCTTAGGTTTCCATTCATCTCTTGCGAGATATTTACATGTGAGATTGATGTTATTCTTAAGACTTTGGTGGAGGACGAGAAGGTTTATTTCATTCATCGTGTTTCGTTTTATTTGGATTTAGTATGTTCTTATTTGTTGGGTCTACTATTATTTTGTAGCTGATGGATTTGCTGTTTGGATTTTTGGAACCGAATCGTCCTCATAGTGCGTTGCTGGCAGGCTATTTCGGAAAGGTCTCTTTTTTTTACTAATAAGAAGTATGTGTAAAGATCGTCCTCAATATGGATTTTAGGTTCTTACATGTGTCTTTTTGATTTAGGTTGTCATATGTCTGATGATCAGAAAGACTGCAGCACTTATG